AATAAATAAAATCTTAAAAAAAAAAAAAAAAGATATAAGATCAGTCAATGTCCAACTTGGGCAGCCAGTGACTTGGGAAAAATCATTAATTCCTTTTGGCTGCTAAGAGAATATTGGGAAGGGATGTTAGGTAGAAAAGAATCAAATCAACAGATGTGTTGAAAATAAACTACACAAACTGTTTTTCATACAGAAGGGCCAAGTGCCCTGAACACAGAAAATACTCACAAATTCAGTAACCCTTTGTTAAGCCCTTACCAAGAACCAGGTGCAGTGCTAGATATTGGGATTATATGCATGCATATGTATGTATATCCTGTATGTGTATGTATACCCCAGCTATTGGGACATACAGGCGAATAAAACACGGAACTTGTCCCTGAAGAACTCATCCCCTCACCACATATCCACTCAACAAGCAAGGAACAGAACTTCCTGTGGACATGTACACCATACACAAGAGACTAGGTAACACATTCAAAGTCACTTAACAGCTGTACAATAACCAGACTGACACAAAATCTGATACTTCTGACTTCTAATTCAGTAAAACAGTGTCCAGGCTAGTTTTTTCCTTCCATTTAATTTAATTCCAACTCAAAAATTCAGATTTAGATTCAGGTGGTGGGATCTCACAGTCAAACAAATACCACATTGGAATGAATGAGACCACAGACTCAGCAGACAACAGAAGTTAAATAAATACTTTCTTCCTACCCAATGCCCTGATCAATTTAGGAAAATCAATTTTCCTAACGGAAATCCACCACACTCTTGAACAGCGAGGGCCTTTGCAGTATGCTGTCATAAAACCTGGCTCTCAGCTGGTTAGACCTATTGCATCAGACAAAAAAAAAAAAAGAATCACATGTGCTTGACAGCTTCCGGCCAATCAGTGACTACCCCAGTTAATCCAGGCAGAAGTTGATAGGCAGAGGGTTCTCTGGTTTAGCTTCATGAAAGATACCCGGATCAGTTCAAGGTTCTAGACCAACTCGCCTAAGTCTTTTCCGGAAAACTTGGGCAAATCACAATTAAACAGGCTCAATAATTACAAGCTTGTTCTTGCCTCACGGCACTCCTCTCCCCATGTCTGGTCTACTACGGCAAAGTCTTTCCTCGATTCTTAAAGGTATGCCTGCAGGTCAGGGGGATGGCCTTCCCCAAAGCTTCGGGATCACTGCTTTTAGTCAGGAGCGGCTTCCGAAATCCCCAAATCCTTCCAATATGTGTGGACTGAACTATTACGCTGCAGATGTGACTCGGTCTCAGGCTGGAGTCTTTGGTCTTATCAGGTTAGAGGGAGACCACTCGGGCCTTGCTGAAGATGAGAAAGGGACCGAAGGCGACCAAAGATGAGTGTTAGGAAAGGGGACCCCCAAGCCCCGAACCTCCCGCCCTAGCTTTCTTCTGACTACCCGTGCGGCAGGAAGGCTTGACAGCTCCTGATGTGCACGCGCCATGCTCCTTCCCAGACAGCCCAGCGATCCGCACCGAGCACGCGTGTAAGAGAGCTCCCATGGCCCGGGCGGAGGGAAAAGGTGGGATGGTCCCGGCTCGCACAGTGCGTTTTAGGAGACAGTGAGAGCCTGGAGTCACCGCAACCAGGGAGGGGACTAACAAGGGGTGGAAGCTGTGGCCTCAGGAGCGGTAACGAGATCGGAGAGATGAAGTTGGGATTAGGATCGGAGGATACCCGGCGCGTCCCGGTACTTACATCGTCGCCACTCGCCGTCTGCCTTCACCAGCTGATCTACTAGTCCCGGGTCCTTGAAGCGCTTCTCCTGCGTCTCTCGGATGAGGGCTGGGTCCCCTCCTTTATCTACCCGAAACAAATCCAGATCCAGCACCATCTTTCCTTCTCTCGGGCCAACGCTAAGTGACGTAAGGAACGTACCACAGCAGCCAGTGACCACCGCACTGCGCCGGCGCGCTGACCCGCCCTCCCCGCGCAGGCGCGGCTGGAGAGCGCAGGCGCCACCTCTCGGCTGGAAGCAGCTGCGCTGGAGTCGGGGCTGCGGGGAGGAACGTGGAATGGTGGGGCGTGGGCGTCTCGGGTTGCGTGCAGGTCTGGCCAGGCTAGTGGGTTTTGTCCGGGTCTTGTGCGGCCTCCCCAGCGCTGCCCCCTGTGTAGGACCTCTGACTGTCCCATTGAAGCGAGTGCCTCAGTTTCCTCCTCATATTAAAGGGCACATCTCAGGTTAGGCAGAGGCCTGCCAATATGATCTCCGGCTTGGAAGCTAGAGCTTCCAATAGATGCCAGTTTTTGTCTTATAAGCATGGTTCCTAAGACTGGACCCTCTCCCTGACCTTCTGTTCTCTTCTCCATCTTGAGACAAGAATATGGCTACATGTTTTAGTCCCTGGGTTACCTAGAGCTAGGATACCTTTCTCGCATGATGCATGATTAGGATACCTTTCTTAACGTGATTATTGAGTAAATCAGTTTGTCCTATTACCAACCTTTTGGATCACGGGATTGGAAAAGTGAGATTTAAATATTTTAGAGAGGGACATGAGACTTTTCCAAGGGGGAAAGTATTTAGCAGATTTGAAGAAAGTATGAGGTATTGAGGTCACATCTTGGGTCTGTTTAAAACTCTTAGAACAAAAATTTCACCATATTTTCATTTTATAACGTTCACACCCTTACAGTGAAATATTATGGTTGCTGATTGGAGCCAAAGTTATCAAAAAGTACTGCTGATAACAAGAGATTATTTGGAGGATTTGGGAATAGGCAGTCTGCCCACTCCGTCCTTCTTATAGAGACTTATAGCCCCACCGGCAATGCTGGCTGTGCTAAGACCTTCTTGGTCTTAACAGCACTTGCATGGGCTCCTGTGATGAGGATATGGCATTGCTATCCCTGCTCCCCAGCAAGTGTCTGCCAAGCCAACTTAGATGTAGCATAGGGCTAAAGACAGTGGTGAAGCTGAGAAGTAGAGATCTGGAGGGGGGGCTTGGGTAAGGGGGTTGTCTGGGTTTGCCACCCTAGGTTCCGTTTGCCTAGGATGCTAGATTTAAAACCAGTGGAAAGGATATGTAGGCAGCTACAGTCTCTGGAGAAAATATGTAAGAAAACTGTCTTCATAGTGTCAGGTTCCCTGAAACCTTCTGAGAGCAAGGTCTGATAGGGGCTGACCCTTCTGTGTCAGTGAAGGCACTGCCAAAGTGTGTTGTTTGCTAAGTTTCAAGACAGTGATGGGTGTTCACAAGGCTGCAGTGGGGCCCAGGCCTAGGGGAGGAGGTCAACTAGGCCAATCCTGTAAGGAGGTCATCAGTATAGTTGGAAGGATGACCTTAAAATTCTGGCCTCTCCAAATTTCCTTAAGAATTTTCACCATTAGTCTTATCATTATATTATAGTCATCTCCCTTTAAAATGTTCATGTTACCTGATAAATATAACAAATTAACATAACGGCATACTTCATCAACTTAAGAATCATAGAATTTTTAGAGCTGGAGGTAAATCTTAGCTAACTGCTAGCCTAATAATTCCTCATCTTTTCATCACCTTGTCCCCCATGTTTTAAAATATGTTTGTCTAACAAACATGATTTTTAAAAATTCATTTTCCCGGGCGCCTGGGTGGCTCAGTTGGTTAAGCGACTGCCTTCGGCTCAGGTCATGATCCTGGAGTCCCGGGATCGAGTCCCGCATCGGGCTCCCTGCTCAGCAGGGGGTCTGCTTCTCCCTCTGACCCTTCCCCTCTCATGCTCTCTGTCTCTCATTCTCTCTCTCACAAAAAAAAAAAAAAAAAAATTCATTTTCCCTTCTTATTAATCAGATATATGCAGCTGCCAATTAGAATTTCTGATCAGCAGAAAATAAACAGTGTTACTACACTGCCAGAAGCTAACACGAAAACGAATCAACATAATACTTCAGTTATGGAGTGATGGTGTGAAGCCATACCACTTTTGGATGTGTGGCTTCCGTTAGGCTTTAACACTGAGAATAGCTAATGGGTGCCGTATATGAGGACCCAGGGGTTCAAGGGTTCAAGGAAAACAGCTACGTCAACCCCTTTATCTTCTATACAAGAACACTGAGGCCCAGGGAAATTAAGCAATAGAGCCCAAACCTCAATACCGGAAAGACTCTAAGATGGTCTTATGTTTTGGCTTGTCTCTCTGTTACCATTCCATAGCAGAAAACAGAGCCCTGAGGAACTTGGCTAGAAAATGTGGCTTTTTCTTATAGGGCAGAGACCCTTTATTGCATCTTGATCTCCACAGGACCTAGCATGGTGCCTTACACGTGGTGAGTTGCAGGGAGTAGGCTGAGAGGTTAGAAGCTTGTTGCAGGTTCAGGGAGTAGAGTCCTAGCTGAGATATTGCCCTGGGGTCCTGGGCAGCTAGTGGGAAGCCTAGGGAGAATGACTACCTGCAGGGAGAGAGCAAGAAAAGAGGGAGGAGCACACACCACAGATGCCTTCCTCAGTTTTTACCAGTTCAGTGCTGGCTAATGAAGGAGGGCTCTCCTGGGCCTTGTCTCAGCACCTCTTTGCATTCCTCTTTTTGTCTTGGATCTGAAGGAGGATTTCTCAGTGTTGGACAAGCAACCCTACCCTCTCACTCCCCTGCTAGAAACCTTCAATGGCTACCTACTGCCCTCAGGAAAATGTCCAAACATACCTTGCAAAGCCCTTCATGATCTGCCCTCTACCAAATTCTCTAAAATGTTCCCCTTATCTCTTGGCATTCCTCCTCACATTCCCCACACCTAGCTGCCTGTAGCTCTCCTTTCTTGTCTCTGAGCCTGTATAGAAACCCCTTCTACCTGGAACTCTCCTTCCCTCCCCTGTTCCTCCAAACTGGCCAATTCCTCCTTCCTCCAGGAAGCTCTCTCTGATACACTATTCACCCTTCCCCCCCAGATTGGTGCAGCACCCACCCTTCTAGGTTCCCACAATACAGTAGCTTTTATCATACTGTTTCAGGAGAAACTGACAACCCAACTTCCAGCTTGAGGCTGCCCACTCCCTTCCATCAGAGAGACACAGTAACAAAGGAAGTTAATGTTGCTGTCCTTGGACAATGAAGGAGCAACCATCTAAAAATAACATGGGGTCAGGGAGAGCTGCCAGCATCTGGGGGGACTTTGATCCTGCCTCCCCCTCTGTTAGAATTGGAACTGAGGTGTCCATTCTCCTACCACACTGTGTGCTTTGGGGTATTACATTTTACGTGGGGATTGTTAACTTCAGCGCTAATAAGGAATTAGTTTATATTCCAAATTCTCCTTGAATAGCTCTTAAATTATCCATGAACTTTTGTGTATGCAACCCTACATCAGTTTCTCTTTCTCTTCAATAGGCATTGTTGCTCTGTGGTTTTCAGCTAATTGTCTTCTTTAAGGTTTAGCCCGAGTCATTAGTATCTTCTGGCCTGTTCACCTGACAGTGCATTTCATGTCTTTGTCAGTGATTGGGAAACCCTTAAAATCATTCACATACCCACCCCCCTACACACACCAGTTTCTTTTAAGATTTTATCTTTAAGTAATTTCTACACCCAGCATGGGGCTCAAACTCAAAACCCTAAGATCAAGAGCTGCAAGCTCCATTGTCTGAACCAGCCAGGTGTCCCTCCCACAGTTTCAAGCTAGGTCATGTCTGTTGCTTGTTTGATGCATTGGGACCCTGCACAGTATATGGTTGAATTCGTGTAAATTAACTGTGGTACTCCCATGTCAATGTTTCTTCACTATTGTGTCCTCAGTGGGTGAGCCAGAGAAAGTTTCACAGTGGGGTGATTTTTTTTTTTTAAGATTTTTTTATTTATTTGACAGAGAGCGACACAGCGAGAGAGGGAACACAAGCAGGGGGAGTGGGAGAGGGAGAAGCAGCCTTCCCGCCGAGCAGGGAGCCCGATGTGGGGCTTGACCCCGGGACCCTGGGATCATGACCTGAGCTGAAGGCAGATGCTTAACGACTGAGCCACCCAGGCGCCCCACAGTGGGGTGATTTTGAAGACTGGGTGGGGGTTGATCAGGTGAAAAGGAAGGGGAGGGGCAGGGGTGCCTGGGTGGCTCAGTGGGCTAAGCATCTGCCTTCAGCTCTGGTCATGATCCCAGAGTCCTGGGATCGAGCCCAGGATCGGGCTCCCTGTTCAGCGGGGAGTCTGCTTCTCCCTCTTCCTCTGCTCTGCCCCCTGCTCGTGCTCTCTCTCTCAAATAAGTAAAATCTTTAAAAAATATATTTAAAAAAAAGGAAGGGGAGGGCAAAGGCAGAGGCACAGGCTAACCCAGGGAGGTGTGAAAGAGCTTGTAAGTGAGGGACAGTCAAAAGTTGTGTTGATAGTGGGGAGTCTGGCTGGCCCAGTAGAGCGTGCAACTCTCGATCTCAGGGTTGTGAGTTCAAGCCCTACATTGGGTGTGGAGATTACTTTAAAATCTTTTAGGGGCGCCTGGGTGGCTCAGTCGGTTAAGTGTCTGCCTTCGCCTCAGGTCATGATCTCAGGGTCCTGGGATCGAGCCCCACGTCAGGCTCCCGCTCCCCCCTGCTTGTTCTCTCTCTCTCTGTCAAATAAATAAAATCTTTAAAAAATAAAAAATAAAATCTTTTTTTAAAAAAAAGTGTGGCTAGAGTAGAAGCAACGTGGGCAGAGAGGGGCAGGTAGGCTGTTAGGGACCTTACACACCACAGCGGAGATGCAGTTTCTTCATCTATTACAATGGGGATAGTGCCTGCCTCTAGTTTGGACTTTATACCATAAGCTGGGGTGATATTTAAATATTTAACCGTCAGTACAACCAGGTACAACTCAGTTGGAGGTAAACAACCAGCTGAGGGAAATCTTTTGGGGGGGTTAAATGCCCTCAACTAGAGTGAAGGAAAATACTAACACAGGAAAATCCAGGTAACCCTGGAAATGGTATACTGGTCCTGATGTCCTCTAATATTTTGTCCACATCTAGTCTATAAGAATCCACTTCATACCCAAAGAAGCGAATTTTACTTGTCTTTGTAGGTGCATTGTGAGGTGGCTGGCCTCAGTATCACCCGAGAGAAAACTAAAGTGGAAAGGAAGGGAGGGAAGATGCTAAGTGTTTTATGTATTCTCTGACTTTGACTTTGATCCTCACCCAATTTGGGGAAGTAAGGCATCATTAGATGTATTTTATTGCTGTGGAAACAGGCTTTGGTTGTCGGCTGATCCCTCAGCAGGTGGTGAGGGGCTTTCTAGCCTCTCTCCCTATTGCTCTGAAGCATGCTCTTTTCTTTCTCACTTTGGGGTTCCAGAATCCTCCTCACCTTCAGCTTAAGCTTCAAGAACACTTCCATTTCTCACTCCCCCATCCAGCCACCCAACCCGTGTTCAAGAAAAACAACTTGAAACGTATGTTTTATTTCACAAAAAAAGAAAAGGGGGAAAATGTGACAAGCCATAGCCTCCCCCCTAACAAACCACAAACTCTTGGAATGCAAAATAAGAAGGAAATCCAAGCAGTCTTGATGGGACAAAATTTAGTTTAACAAAGCTGAAAAATCTGTTACAAAGTCTCTATTGTATAAATATAGTCAGTCTTATCTTTAATGTAGAGTCAGACCAAAAAAAAAAAAAAATTGTCTTGGCTTAAGAAATCGCCCGGTCCTTGAATATACCACAGTGTTCGTTGGTCTTCCCAGCCAAATCAGGTGATGCCTACGTGATGAGAATTCCTTGTGTCTTCCAGCACTCTAGGTGACCACATGGGATTTAAGTATTTTGTCTCCTGAGCCCATACTGCCTCCCCCAGCAGCTTGGAGCTTTAGCCTTAGAGCTAAAGGCTTTTCCCATATAAAATCTAACGTGTCTATTCTAAAATTGAGTATGGTGATGGCTGCACAATTCTGTGAATATATTAAAATCCATTGAATTGTACATTTTCAATGAGCCAATTGTAGGGTATGTGAATTATATCTCAATAGGGCTGTTAAAAAGTACCGAATATGTCTAAGCAACAGGTGACCCTGATATCATAATGCAGGAGCTCCCGGCAAGACACAGGGAAGACCTGTAGAAGTCAGTGCACTAAGGGATAGATAAAGGGAGATGCTTAAAGCATTGTGACTAAATCAGTGGAGTTTGAGGTTGCTCTGGGGGCACTCAGTTTCAAGATGTCAGAATAAAGAAGTCAACATGGTAGCTACTTTTCCCTACTGCTTCCAGAGTAGTCTAAGGACCTCGTATGGCTCTCGTCACAAAGAAAGCTACTCAGTGGGAAAGCAGATGCTTTCTGGGTGTTGCTGAAGCTACAGCAAACTTTAGGCTGGAGTTCAGGAGCTAGGTATCTGCATCCATCAGGAGAAATTCCAACGTCGCTACAGGGTCTGAGAGCCTGACTCCCATGAGAGGAGCACCCCCCCCCCCGCAAACAAAGCTTCTAGATTTATTGAACCAAAGGGACTGCCTGCCTTCAGTGATGCTACTGATGACCAGAAGTCACAGGAGGGCCCGGTTCTCACTGCCCCTTTTATAAGGCCACTGCCGGGGGAGCAATGCCTAATCAGACCAGCAGACCATTTTTGTGGCGGACAAACCACTCTGAAATGCCATCCCCATTCTATACCTACCCTCTGGGCACCAGGTGGCCACTCAAAAAAGGAGATAGGCGCAACCAAGGGCGACTGGGCCCTTGACCAAGGGATGATCATGCCAGCCTGATAGGGAGGGAGAACCACCAGGAGTAAGAAGAAAACAAGAATTTAAACTCTTGCACTGGTTTTGCCATTGTAGTTACTTGACCGTCGATTATACTGGGTGTCAGAGTGGAGAGAAGGGGCACAGAGGACACTCATTTTACTCACCTTTCAGAAGGGATGCTGCCAGAAATTGGGACTAGAAGTCTTTTTCATTTTTTAGCACACGTAAGAAATGAGAACAGGGAAAAGAGGCGGCTAGGGGCTTGAAAGTGTGAGGTGTTCCAGTTTGCTAAACATCTTGTTCAACTCCCTTAGTCTTTCCTCCGTGAAGACTGATCTGGTCCTCTGGCTGGGGTATGGGCTGGGCGCCAATTCCGTTTTTGGCCAGCCTAGAAAATGTTTATTCTGTAGCTGAGCAGATGAGTTAAGATTAGAAGCAGACATCCTGGCCACCTCGGGGTCCATCCCTTTGTGGGCCAGATCCCCCCTCACCATCCCCACCCCATATAGCCCCACTAAAACCTTGGCCTCCTTGTGTTCTTTCAAAATAAGATACCCCTATTCCATGATATGGCTCAAGCCTCTACAAATGGGGCCCTCAAGGACAGGAAATTTTCCTTGCTGGTAAGGTTTGTCATCTCTGTGGGTAAAAGCAAGCAGAGAAGAAAGCTAGAACACCTGTGTTTAGGGCTTACCCAGTTCTCTAGTGTCATAGGGAGATGGTGGGACGTTAAAAAATAAATGGGGGTGGGGCGCCTGGGTGGCTCAGTCGTTAGGCGTCTGCCTTCGGCTCAGGTCATGATCTCAGGGTCCTGGGATCGAGCCCCACATCAGGCTCCCCGCTCCGCGGGGAGCCTGCTTCTCTCTCTCCCACTCCCCCTGCTTGTGTTCCCTCTCTCACTGTGTCTCTGTCAAATAAATAAATAAAATCTTAAAAAAAAATAAATGGAGAGAATAGGTTCACCAGGGCTTTGGGCATTTTCTTGGTGCACTTTTTCCTTTGGCTCCTGTGAGAATATTTATCACTTACTGAGAAAAAGGGAGTGAAGTACCTAGTTTTAAGAAACAAAACAAAACTTTCCTTATTGCCTCTCTCTGTGCTTATTGAGCCTTTTCTTCCCCAGGCCTTTCTCACCTTGCCCTCAGCCTGGCCATGAAACTCAGTCTGAGCTGGTTATCCAGGAGAGAAGAATCCAGACTACCATGACGGTCCAGGAGAGGACGCCAACACCCTCCTTACCCACCTCTCTCCTAGAGAGATCATGAGCTGAGGGCATATCATCAGAAAAACTCCAGCTGCTTCTGCCCTTAACTAAGAGGACAGAGGAAGTTGTTTCTATACTTAAGAAGAGAGAAATATTTTCATTCCAGAGCTATACGAATTATGAGCAGACGAAGCTATGGCTCGGGTGGCTGGACCATTGTGGGAAACAAGATGCAAGCAAGGGAGTAATATACAAACAAAGTGTGGGTATATTTGACAGGTTGGAGGCAAGCAGAAAGGAGGGTTTGGGTACTCTATAAAAAAACCCCAAAAACCCAAATATCTGAAATCCAAACTTCTGATAAGGCCACAATGAAGAGATTTCCAGCAGGAAGCTGGCACCCGAATCGCCACAGGCTTGCAAGGTGATGTGCCCGGGTGAGGAGGCAGGGGAGGCAGGGCAGTGCCTCTCACAGGTCCACGTCTGGGCCTCCTGAGGATGTCTTCAGCGGCACGGAGTCAAATCCATCAGGAGTCCTCTGGAAGAGAGACGGGGACAGGAGCTGGCTGCTGCGCCCAGGCAATTTGGGGAACAAGGGTGAGAAATGGAAAACAGGGGACAGAAGGAACCCTTATGGAGTTCCTGCTTCCAGTGGCTTTGTGGAAGCAGACATAAAATACCCTCTATTCTTCTTGGTCCTTTCAGTCAGTCAGAGAATAAGAAAAATCTTTAAAACCCCCTGCTTTTCATCTTTGCTGAATTCTAAAAGCCCAGAGAGACTCAGGGGTCCCAGAGTAAATTGTTCTCCCATTGGTGAAGCACACACACACACACACACACACACACGAGTCACCCTGATAGGTTAGCACAAAGGGAATGCGATTCAGCAATCTAAATCCCTACCCGCCCTCTCCTCACCATGCCGCCACTCCTCTCCTCTCAGGTGGCCACCTTCCCACCCACACCTGTTTGATGAACTGGTTCAGGGCAGGAGTGAGGTGTGGGTTCTGGCGGACTGGGGCTGCAGAGGGCTGCGGCCCTGGAAGCATTGCTTGGATGCTGTCTGCTGGCCCCACACCCAATGACAGTGTCGTCAGCATAGCATTTATGAGCTTCAAATTTGCTCACCCACCCACACATACAGAGCCAACTCTCCCGGCTCCACAATGCTCAGTGGTGAGCAGCACAGCCTTAGCTATGACTCAGCCCCCACAGGACGGGGCCCAGACATCAGGGGACAGCACCCTCCAATGATCAAAGGAGAGCCTCGCTTCTATCAGAAGTTGATCCTAGAGATCGCCTCTTCCCCACCCTCCAAAAAACAAAAAAAAGGGGAAATGATTCTTACAACGTGGATGGTTCAATACTCCTTCTGGAAGTTAAAAGGCCCAAACAGTCCATCAACTGGAGTGCATGTTGGGAGAGAAGGAGCCTGGTCAAGAGCAGCCTTGGGCCCCATGGGAAACAGTAATGGTGTAGAAATACAGAAGGCAGAAGCCAGGATTTTGAGGGTGGGGGGATAGAACAGTAGGGAGGGTGGGGAGTAGAGTAGTGAGTGGTCCCTGAACAATGTGGGACCATTCAATGTCCTAGGACTGGTGTCTTCTCCAGCCCTCCAGGCTGACCTCAGTGCGCTGGCCAGCCTCCCTACCTTAGAGGTAAATGATTTGATCTTCCCAAAGATTGACTTCCTGCTGGTAAAGATGAGGTCATCCTCCACATCCTCGCCTTCCATGATGGCACAGCTGTCAGCTGCTGGCAGGTCGCAGTCCTTGAGGGCAGTGTTCATCACCAGCTTGGAGTACTTGTACTCCAGTCTACGAGGCAGGGGGATGGGACAGATAAGACAACAAAATGTGGAATGAGGGAGCGGGGAGGGAGAGAGGCTGGACTCTAAGCAGGTAACCACAGGTGAGGAAACGGAAGCACAGCAAAATGGTGTGAGCTCTGGGCATAGAGCTAAGGAATCCTGACTTCCAGTTCAGTGATCTTTTTCCCTTAAGGCTGGCTGTTTCTGTGTTCTCAAAGCTTAATAGCAATAATGGAATCATAAAGCGGTTATTATTTTAATTATTATTAATAATCACAACAAATTAAGGATCCTCTGCTTTCCCTTTGAGCATCTAACGGTCATTTCTAGACTGCCACGTGGTCCTGTCCCTGTTCAGGAGTCAGGACGGCCAAGGCATACGTTGGATAAGTGGCTCAACAAGCCTCTGGCCAGGGTCACAGGCTCTGTGGCCAACTCCAGAGAAAAGCCTCCTGGCTTGAATTCTCGGATGTTCTCCTCCCGCTGCAACGATCCAACCCTGTCCATCCCCACGCTCCAGTACCCCAGCACGTACTTTTGATTCTTCTTCCAAAAGTAACAGGTCAGGACGGTGAGCAGGATGGCAGCACAGGTGCCCGCAGAGATGCCCACTTTCAGCCAGAAATCGATCGTTTTGCAGATGGTGACTCTCTGCTCAGGCAGGGAGATGCCACCTGCGCACAGCTTTGGTTCTCGCCACACGTAAGTAGTCTTCTGCTGGGGAGGAAAACGAGGAACTCAGAGATCCCATTGCCTTCTCTCCTGGGACGTCCCCAAGCAGAGAGACCCACCTGCATCCCAGCCACGCAGCTGCTGACGATAGCGTGGTAGTCGGCCGGGGAGCAGAGCGGACAAGCAGCCAGGCTCTCCCACAGGAAGTGGAAATTACAGCCATCGCAGGTCCCATCGGAACATGCGCTAGCAAAGCAGAAAGGAGACTTGAGTGCTTAGTCGCTGGATGGTGGGAAGAGCCGGTGGGAGTCCCATCATTTCGTAGCTTGCCTGCTCCATCCTCTCCTTGCCAAACTGTTAGCCCCACCAGGATCCTTCCAGTTAGTCCTTAATACAGGTTTTGCTCTCCGATGTCCCTGATGACAAGAGGCCTTCCCAGCCTCCACCGGGTTCTCTACCCTCCGCCTGTTTGTTTCTGCTAACATCAGATGACAGCTAAATACAGAAGAGCTGTAGCCTGGCTGCCCCAGCCAACCCCTCAGAGGCTCCTGTTCTCCCCCATGGACCTGTGACATTTTGCAAAAGCCACTTTGATGCAGCTTCCTGGCGGTGGGGGAAGGGGGTGGTTCAGGAATGGACTTCAGGTCATGGATATCTGTTAGGTACTTTACTGCAATGTTTACACCAGCAAGAACGGTGGTCTTACGTTTTGACACCCCTGCTGAGTCAAAATATCTTGTGTTGCTCCGCATCTCCCTGAGCAGCTGCTATTTAGAAACAGCGTTCCCCAAACCATCTTCCTCAAGACACTAGTGCCCCTCAACATGTTAGTTGGGGTTATGTGGGGGGGGGGAAAGGAGGCGGGGGAAGGGTACTGTAATCAAATTGGTTCCAGAATCCTCGAGTTAGTGCACTCAGCTATTAAACTCAGAATTGGGTCTTTTGGTTGTGGAGAGATTCCTAAAACCGTTATTCCTCCTAATAATCGCAAGTACACGCCAGACACCATAAGAAGTCCACACGTCTCATGGTCTCATTGAATCCTCACGACCACTCCCTGAGGGAACTTCTTATTATCCTCATTTTACAGATAAGGAACAAGAAGACCAGGGAAGATAAGAAATGTATCCAGAATAACACAGCTAGTAAGTGGAGGACATGAGTCCAATAACCATTTGGCTGTGCCGCTGTCCCCATAATGGTATGGGAATGTGAGAGTAGCTTGGACTCTTCCTTCTGCCCTACTCTTGACATCTGGAGATTGAGAATTTGCATCATGATTGTGTCCCCAAGAGCCCATTAATGGCTCTCAGACTGTTTTCTCTTTGGTTCTTGGGATGAAATGAGTCCAAAGAAGGGAGACCTTGTTACACCCCTTTACCTCGGCAGCGACAGACTTCCGGGGGCGGGTTTCAGTGGACTGCATCTGACACGGATGGTGGTCGATCTCCCAGAACTGCAGGACTGGGTCACATCATTGGACCTGCAGAGAAAGCCAGCCCCCGGTGGGGAAGAAGTCACTCACCTGTTTCATTGGAGAGCCACTAAGTGAGGTCAACATGGAACAAGTTCCTTGCTGGGGAAGTCAGGACTTGGGAGTGCACACGCGTTGGTTTATACACTGAGAGAGTGGGGATCAGGGAGATCTGGTCAAGGGGAAAGGCACTGGTCCAGGAAAGGTTAACATAGGCATAACACCGGAGTCTCCTAGGGCAGGAAGGGAAGTCAGCCACAGATAATCCCATATTTCTCCCTGCCTCCGGGGCAGACCTGCCCCAGTAATACCCCAGAAGCTGGGATCAGTGAACTCCCAGCCTGTAGCTGTCATTGCTGGGTGAATCTGCTAGACATCGGACATGTTCTGGCTTGATAAGTGTAGGTGGCTGGAGAGAGGGATGCACCAGAAACGATGGAGGGGCTAGGTTTCCCTTGCATCGGCCTGGTCTCTCATCTTCACCTATAAAAGAAGATCACGTCCGGTATTCCCAAGGACTCCGGGTGGAAAAGTTCAGCTGGGGAGGAGAGTCCATCCAGAGTCATATCTGTTGTCACCCCTGCCAAATTAGAGCTCCTAATTAGTTGTCACTAGTACCATGAGCCGGTAACCACTTCAATTCTTTCAATACCTGCCAACATCCAACCTTCCTCCATCTCCTCACATCCCCGAATGGCTCATGAAAGGGTGAACTGAAGTTTGTCAGAGGCCCCAGGGGGCACTTGGCACCCCCCCCCAGGATGGAATAGAAAACAGAGGTCAAGAGGGTGGGCCCCTCATCTGGGGCCTTTCTCCCCCAGAGCCCAGTAGCCTCACTCTGTCTTACACACACACACACTCACTCAAACAGGCTGGAGCGGCTGGGTCACTCACCAATGAGTCGGTCGGCGAGGCTGACAGGCTGCGAGGACACTCCAGCCTTATAACCTGTCACCTCTGGGGGGATGATGACCGCCTGGCAGACGTAGGCTGTGATGGATTTGGAGAAACCCGACTCACCCTCAGGAATCCGAAGGTCAGTGACATTGTCGGCACACACGGACATTTTCTTCCCCTGGGTTGGGGGACGTGGGGAGGAAGGAGTGGGAAGGAGGGAATGGTCACAGAATTCCCAAAGGGGAAGAGGGCACATTGCTTTCACATCTGAAATTTCAGCCTTCCAGTGGCATGTTGCAGTGGAATGATTTCATCCCAGATCTGATTACAAGACACATTTTTTTTTTTTTTTTTTTAGCTAAAAATAAGGCCTCGGTGTCCTAGTTTCTGGAACTCTGGCCCAGGGGTCGCAAGCCTTTTTGTTTCCTCGGAGTCACGTGGGAGCCTTATATGAGCAGGGTTGTGATGGCGGCAGAGGATCCGGAGCTCTAATCTACCAGCCCACCAGTTAAGGGTCTTCCTTATCCTAGCCAGTTTTCTAGATAGATACTGAACTACTCCCTGAAGTTTTTGAACATCTGGCTTGGTTCACATTCCCTCTCTGTGTGGGAGCACTCTCCAGACAGATTCCTAGCAGTTAAAACAGAACCCACGACAAGCCCCCTCCCTGCCTTGAGATAGGACATCTTAGAAATAATTGGAACCTAATCCATTAAAAAAAAAAATGTACCCAGAGAAGAAAGTCCGTGTTTATATAGAGAACGTGACAAGAAATAAAACATTCTGTAACAACCCTCACCGTAGAGAACTCTGGAAAATGGTAGGAATAAGACTCCTTCTTCCTGGAGATTTTGTAATAGAGGAAATATTGAGATATTGTTCCTTCAAAAATGTTAAATTTATGGAATATCACTATATAACTTGTTTGCCAGTATCAAATCATTTGTTTAATACTTTAAGTGTACTAAACCCAAAGAATAAATACAAAAGCACTAATTCACAAGCATATGTGCACCCCTAAGTTTATTGCAGCATTATTTACAATAGCTAAATTGTGGAAGCAGCCCAAGTACCCATTGATAAGTTAATGGATAAAGAAGATGTGGTGTATATACACAATGGAATATTATTCAGCCATAAAAAAAACGAAGTTTTGCCTTTTGCAACAACATGGATGGAGCTAGAGAGTATAAACTAAGTGAAATAATCCAGTCAGAGAAAGACAAATGCCATATGATTTCACTCGTATGTGGAATTTAAGAAACAAACTAGGGGCGCCTGGGTGGCTCAGTTGGGTAAGCGACTGCCTTCAGCTCAAGTCATGATTCCAGGGTCCTGGGATCGAGCCCCACATCGGGCTCCCTGCTCCAAGGAAAGCCTGCTTCTCCCTCTTCCACTCCCCCCTGCTTGTGTTCCCTCTCTCTCTGTCAATTAAATAAATAAATAAAATCTTTAAAAAAAAAAAAAGAAACAAAACAAACAAAGGAAAAAAAAGAGAGAGAGAGAGGCAAATCAAGAAAGAGACTCTAAACTAGAGAACAAGCTGATGGTTCCCCGAGGGGAGGTAGGTAGGGGGATGGGTGAAACAGGTGATGGGGATTGAGGAGGGCACTTGTGATGAGCACGGGGTGCTGTATGGAAGTGCTGAATCACTATATTGTACTCCTGAAACTAATGTAACATTATGTTACATTATGTGTAGTAATGTATGTTAACTATACTGGAATTAAAATTAAAAGCTTAATAAAATGTTTAAAAATGGAAGTGTACTAAGCACTTACAATGTAAGATTTTCAATATTCTAAACTGTATGACAAATGAAGTTATGTCAGTTGCCAAATCTGGTGATTCTTAGTTTATTTTTTAGATTGTAAGAAATAAGGGACATGAGAAGAGAATCAAACCTTTACGTTATGGGAAAACAAAGAGCTATTTTGTCTTTGAACTGACAGTCGGTAGTGTGACAGTAGGCAGGAAGCATTTCTGAAAAGAATAAAGGAGCAAAGACCAAAAAAGGCAATCCCTCCAAATTCCCCGTCTTCATCTCTCTCCCAACTCACTGAATGAAACTTTTGCTACATTGGTCTTGCTTTAATCAGTCTCAATTTCTGAATCATCACTAACTCACTTTGGAAGCTTCATTTGAACTTCTTCAAAGACTTGTAAAAACAAGATAGAGAGGCGCCTGGGTGGCTCAGTCGGTTAAGCATCTGCCTTCGGCTTGAGTCATGATCCCAGGATCCTGGGATTGAGCCCCGCATCATCGCATCATCATGGGGCTCCCTGCTCAGTGGGGAGTCTGCTTCTCCCTCTGCCCCTCCCCTCCACTTGTGCTCTCTCTCTGGCTCGCTCTCTCTCTCTCTCAAATAAATAAAATCTTTAAAAAAATAAAAATAAAAACAGATAGAGACATGTATCTTTAATCTTCCATAGATTAGTTTCTTTTTTTTATGAAGATATAATTGTCATAGAACATTGATTAGTTTATTTCTTGGCATGTTCTCTATAAAAACAGAAATCACCTTTTTCTGCATGCTCCAGAAGGTGGTAGAAGCTGTGCTGTGTAAAGGTCTCACTACCACACAGGATCACAGACTAAAGGCTCAAGATGCCCTTTATTTTGTAACTTTTGAAACTCTCTCTCCTGACTGCTAATCCTGGCTCGTTTGTAGTTTAGTTAAGTGCAGTAGTGCTGTGATTACTCTTTACATTTCTGTTTTTGCATTTTGCATCCAACACATTTACAGCAGCATGCAATGGCTAAAGGTAACATTCTTTGCATATCCTATAAAGCCTTTCACACTACTTTTTTTTAAACTGTCAGCAGAGGTTCTTAGAGATGAACTACATACAGTTTATTTTATCCAGCCTTTAGAAAACAAATGACAAATGCCATGATTAGCGAAGACTGCTTTTTAAAGGGGAAAAAATCTTCCTCTGGCATTGCTTTTATATATTCATTTTGAAAGAACAAAAGTCAGGAAAGAGTAAATGAATATATCTTATCTCAAACACCTTTACTTTCCTAAATGTTTATAATCCAAATGATTTAATTTTAGAGGAAAAGGTCCTCAGGGAGAATAATCATCCCTTAGAAACGCTGGAGTTTTCTCAGTCGCCTGCTGCCTGGCTTTTCAGCTCTGTTCCTGTGTCCATCTCTGGCTCTGACCCACTGGGGTCCCCTTTCAATATGACACCATCAGCACTCACACAGCTTACCTGGTTTCCACACAGACTGAGGGTAAAGTGATGGAAATACTTCAGCCCTTTGGAAGTGAAGCTTGGCCCTCCAGCCAGAGAGACGGTGTTTGCCAAAGCCAAGAAGTTGTAGTCCAAAACCCTGGTCGGAGTGCTGACTGAGAAGGTGCAGTCATTGTAGCACAGAGAGTGGATCTGAGGGGAAAGGATCGGTCAGGTTGGCTGTGCGGGCCGTGCCTTAAGGGGACCAGAGTGGAGAGTGGGAGCTATTGTCCCCAGCCTGGTCCAGCCCAGGAGAGAGAGAAGTGGACGTAAGGATTGGGTGGGCATTAAAATAAGGGAAATGAGCTAGTGGGGGTTATGTACATCCCACAGTTCACCTGTTAGCACATATATAATCTACAAACCCGAATCTCGGTAAGGAATTCGGTCAGATTTAAAGCTTTGTCCCTACGCCTAGATGATAGAACTCTCTCAAGACACAAGGTAGCCCTTCTTGCTTTTAAGCAGAAGACATGGAGGTGCTAACTGGAAGAAGGGTGTTCGGGATGGCAGAAGAGAAATTGCAAGCCTTTGTCTGTGCCCATTTAAAACTCACTGAAGCCTTGCTCCTCTCTCCCAGGTTCTCTGCAGGACACTGAGCTCCAAACGGGGATTTAGGGGCGCCTGGGTGGCTCAGTTGGTTAAACATCAGACTCTTGGTTTTGGCTCAGGTCATGATCTCATGGGTCGAGAGATGGAGCCCCACATCGGCTCTGCACTCAGCGGGAAGTCGGCTTCTCTCCCTATCCCTCTGCCCCTCCCCCCCCCCATTGAGCACGCTCGTGCTCGCGCTCTCTCTCTCTCTGGCATAAACAAATAAATCTTAAAAAAGGGGGGGATTTATATCCCATAAACCCCTTACTCCGTTTTAGGAAACCCATTCAGCACAGCTTATGCAACTGTCATTCCCTCCCATAGCAGCAGAGGGAGCCTCAGGGGAGGAAGTTTGCAGAAAAGTCTAGGGCGCCCAAAAGAGGTTGCCCGGGGTCTGCAGAACTGTTGCATTTACTGCACAGCTAAACTGAGCAGCATTTGCAGACTGTGTAAATAATGCCTCACAGATATTTGTGTGTTGATGCGGTTGTGATAAGTAAAATACAAGTTGATTCAAAAAGCATTAATGAATACCTAAGAGCTTTTCATCATAGTACTTTCTTAGCTTCAGAAAGTACATGGGGACAACAGCACAGTTAGTTTACTTTAGCAAAAACCCTTTAGGATAAAAGACAGCAATGCCAGTTAACTGTATGTCCCAGCAAAGGTGAGTTGCTCTCCCAAAGGAGAGGGGGCCAACTCCCATGACAATAGGCTGGATTGAAGTAGGCTCAATGTGAGCCCGAGCTCTTATTCCTTCCCTTCAGGTCTCTGCAGAGATGCCAAATAACCCTCTGGATCAGAGGGTCACAGATCTCCCTAACCCATCCCTTGAAAATGAGACTTGTCCATGACTGAGGCCTAGACCCTGAAAACCAACCTCTACAGCTAAGAACTTGCCCTCCACAGTCAAAGCCTGGGCTGGTATCCTCAAGGACTCTAACCTGGGAGTAAACTACAGGGAATGCTTGGTTATCAGCCCCTCAAGAACCCCACCCAGGTCCTGGCACCCTCTGAGGTGGTCCATTCAGAGGGCCAAGGTTAGGATGCATGACACGTTGCTGGCACCTTGTTGCTCTTGGTCCCTGGACCACAGGGCATGCAGGCCTGGATGCCATAAGGCTGGTGGGCCTTCAGGATTGTGTTAGGGGGGCAGGGGTGGCAGGTTCCTGAGTTCCGATCGATGTAGTAGCCAGCAGGACAAGAGGTGCAGGAGGAGCCCATGTCAGAGGCTTCCAGAGCACAGGGACGGCAGTAGGAGGCCACCCCATCCATGACGTTGGTGACATTGATAGAGTAGATTTTGGCGACATCATTGGTGTACTTCCTGCCCTGGAAACAGGAGGAGAGAAGGCAGAGGCCTGAGATGCCAACAGCAATTGAGTTCTCTAGAAATAGCAAATGACTACTTAACCCTCTTTACCCTATAATACTTGAGAAAAATCTTAGAAGCATCCTATTCTTCTTACTCACTAAAGAGTTGCTCTTTGTGAACATTGTGTGTCACATTAAACCAAGACAAACCCATTCTAAATGTTGAATAAAAATATTAAGTGCCATGGGAGAAATATGCAGTAGATACCGTTATATGCAAAAAGCAGGTCTCTTCTTGTGAAAGGGAAAAAAAATGTATTTGAACTTAGAGTTTCATCTTCCTGGGAAGTCATTTGGACAAGGCTGGGTGCTTCTCAGGGGCTGGAATAGGCAGTTCTGTGCTTGACTCCTTCAGATCCTTCTAACCCTTGGGTTCTGAACCTCACACTCATACTTAAGCTAATGCTAGGAATCATCCTGGCTCAGAGGTCTCTCCTGGGAGCTAGGGGTCTGGAGAAGGGGAGGAGCTTACCGTCTCATGAAAAGTGGTCCTCTGGAAGGCCCAGGTGAAGCTCATGGTAGCATTCTTCTCGATGATATAGGTGTAGGACTGTTTGCCTTTGGAACCTTTCCATGTCTCCACAGGAGTGTTGGTCCTAGAGTTCACACCCTGAACCCAAGACAGACAAGTGAAGAAGGCACAACGGCTGGGTGGCTAGTGGGGGACAGAGTTCCCATACTGCTGCCATCCCAGGGGCCAATCACAGTCGATCAGACCCATGTTAAACAGTGAAGTCCCTGATGGACAGTCTGGCCCCTTCCTCTGTGAAATTACTATAAACGGGGCTGTCAGTTATGTTGATGCACCAAAGGGGTAGAGGGGGGCCAACCCTCCCAATAGTCCCTGGAAGCCCCATAGCAGACAAAGAAAGGGAAACATACCACCATGAAGTAGAGCTCACAGTTCACAGAACAGATGGTCTCAAAGACAAATGTGATCCTGGCCACCTCTTTATTCTCTGTGTCTGCCATCACTGACTGTGGAGGTCTGTGGGGCAGAAACTAGAAGTCAGTTCCAGAGACCAGGCAGTGTTTACTGAAGGGCCCAGACAGCAGCAAAATGTCTGCTGTGGGATAGGGTTAAGTTCTGAGGATGCTGGAAAAAGCATGGATTAAGTCCAATTCTGCCACCTAGCTATGTGACCAAATTATAGTTTCCTCATCTGTAAAATGAAGGTGATGATATCTTTCTTATTTACCTTCCATCACTGTGGTGAGATCCAAGGGCATAACAGATGCAGGAGTGCTTGTAAAATGCTCTATACTCTCACTAGCAGAGTGGGGTCCTCAGACCAGCAGCATTGCCCTCACCCGAGCTTATTAGAGGCACAGGACCTCAGGCCCCTCCCCAAACCCACTGAATCAGAATCTGCACGTTAGCAAGATTCCCAGGTGATGCATAAGCACGTCAAGGTTTGAGAAGCTCCACCATCGTAAGATGTAAATTACCTACATTCACTTAGCAGCTCACTCTCTGGGGTGGTGGGAGTTTTTCTCAGGTCGAATGAGCAGATATTTCAATTTGTCATCTCTTCAGCCAAATTCTCAGGCTGGTCCTTCTTTTGGGAAAGAGAGAGCCAGGCCCAGGGGGGCAGGTGGGGGAGGGGTGGTGAGTAGGGGAGGTGAGGAAGCACTTTACTACAGCAGTCAGCTTTGCAAATTGAAATGTACTTTTGGGAATTTACCCCCCCCAAAAGCCTAAAAAATTTGCTCACCTTGCAAATGGGATATAACTTCTCATCTCTGAGTAGTGTAAATTAAGAGAAGGGAAATAAATACCTTTTGAGCGACTACTGTGGGCTGAGCACGGTGCCAGCAATGGAAAGGAGGGAGCTTGAGGAAGGTAAAGGAGAACCCAGACGGGCAATAGGGAAACCCATTCAGTGGTCCCCCCTCATCTTGAAAGCGCATATGGGCAGAAGAATTCACTTTGGCCTTGGAAATCCACCTATGGCTTTTCTTTTGTCCTTGGCCATTTGCTTATATCCTAAGGACCACCAGTCCCAGCTCTATCTGGCCTGAAGCCTAGGAGCATGGTGACTTTCCCAAGTTCACAAAGCCAGTAAGTGGTGAAGTTCAAGTGTTCTGTCTTCAGTCCAGTGTTCTTTCCACCATACCACACTGTCTGTAGTATTTATTTTAATGGCAAACACATTGCTTGACATCCTAGGTCTTCTTGGGATATGGGGATCAATATGAGAAAAAGAATAATCCATCTCAGTCTTCTTTTCCCAAATAAAGAAGAACTGTCAATGGGTTCTGGCCCTCTTTTTTTAATTTTTAAAATTTAATTAATTTATTTATTTTGGATTTATTTATTTATTTTAGAGAGAGAGAAAGTGTGCAGTGGGGAGAGGCAGCGGGAGAGAGAGACTCTCAAGCAGACTCTACTGAGCACAGAGCACAATGTGGGGCTCGATCCCACGCCCCTGAGATCATGACCTGAACTGAAATCAAGAGTTAGATGCTTAACCGACTGAGCCACCCAGGCGCCCCTGGCCCTCTTTTTAAAAGTTGTTGTTGTTGTAACATTTTATCCGATGGTATGACGAGGAAGAATTTGAATAGCTTGTGGCCAATCGATGAGAGAAGCCAGATGGGAGAGAGCGCCACCAGGAGGTCGACCGGCATGGGCAGCAACAAAGAAGCCATGTTAGTATTTGGGTTAACTTTGTCAGAGCATTACCTTGCTCTCCTCTGTTCTGAACTCATGTTTCCACACGCCAGAAGCCCTCTCCTCTACACCATTCCAAGCTATGTGGGACTTGGATGTGGTCAAGGTAGCGTGGGCTTCCCCTTAGCTTTGTATCCCTCACCTGAATCCTGGCACAAGCAGAGTGAGAATCATGAAGTCATTGTCTGAGGCTCCAACAGCCGTATAAATGTGATCACCAGCCACTTCCCAGCCTGGAAAAGGAGAGGGGAGAGTTAGGGCCAACGTGCACCCAGATGACACTCTGAAAGAGAGAGAGAACACCGTCCTTTGAGGCATCCAGAACCACCGCCAAAACCAAACCATGTTATTTATCCTGCTACTTTGGTCAAAGACTCTGAAACTCTCAGAGCAAGCCGTTTGGAGTGGGTGCACATTGTTTCTAGCTCTGGTTCTATCTCTAAAACTAAGCTCTGGCAGAATAAAGGTCCACGGGGAGTGGAACTTTCCAGAGAATGCATGGCATGATTAGCTCATTTTTCTGCAGACATCACTGTTATGAAGAAATGTGAAGTAGGAGAGCTCCCGGTCAGCAGGGAGCTGATAGCTCACAGTAAGTGACAAGGCACTTACCGGTCATGCCCTTGTACTCAAAGTTGATCCCACTGAGAACGGTGGTTTCCATGTTTGAGGGCAGCGTGTTCCACCATTTGTATTCGAATCCCACGGCTGGCTCAGTCCCGGCCGGGCAGTGGCTGCAATCTGGGGGAACCACAAGATCCATGCCTTCAGCAAGGAGGCTGCAGCAACCCCGACTGGAGCTGCTGTCCCACGGACAAGTGACAACAGTGGTGGGCAGCCAAAGGGGGGTAATGCTCAGCACTGTAGCACGGTTAGATCAAGTCGACTGGAAAACATTCTGACAATGTATTTCACAAACGCAGGACATAAACCCTGACCCTTAATTCCAATACTCCAGCTACCATACTTGCCCCACCAAATTTTTCACTTCAAAACTTAAATGGAGACGAACCATGAGAGACTATGGACTCTGAGAAACAGACTGAGGGTTTCAGAAGGGAGGAGGGTGGGGGGATGGGTTAGCCCGGTGATCGGTATTAAAGAGGGCACGTATTGCATGGAGCACTGGGTGTTACACGCAAACGATGAATCATGGATCACCACATCAAAAACTAATGATGTACTGTATGGTGACTAACATAACATAATAAAATAAAATTAATAATAATAAAAAAACTTAAATGGATCTTCTAGTCTGATGCATATGGTTCATATTATTTGCCGTGGTATTATCAGTAAATTCATTTACATCAATAGGTACACAAATCCTCCCCACACCTTTCTGCAGCATGGCTTATGGTTCCGATCATGTCAAGCTGGCCATCCCCGCTCCCCAAACCTTCTAGTTAGCATCCCTGCTGCATGCTGGAAGCCTCTGTGGTGAGGACTGCATACGTGAGGCCTGAGTCACAGTTGCAGTCGGAAGAGGGAGGGAGGCAGGCCGTTCTCCAGCGTGACTCCGACCTACAGGCAGGGCCCACCCTGACCTCGCTCCTCCTGAACTCAGTCCGCAGAGTGGCCCGGCCCTCACTGCCTCCCTGGGAAGGACAGCGTGCACGTTCAGCTGGCCGCTCTGAGTGCCCACGCGGCCCACCCAGTGGGCGACGTGGGAACGGACAGGATGCAGATAGAGAGGTTACCGGAGCCGTTGGAGTACGAGCCGTAAGGGCAGGGCTCGCAGCTGCTGTTGTTGGTTTTGAAAAAGCCTGGGTTGCAGGGCGGGCAGCGGGTCTTCACGCCAGAGGCGGGCAGCTTCACGGCCCCCTCGAGATCCTCACTGCAGATTTTCGGCTGGGCCCATTTGTACATGAGCTGTGTCTGCAGAAATGCATTAAGAATGGCTCAGCCTGTGCAGGATTTAGCACATCTTTAGGAATTTACCTTGAGAGTGTGGGGGTAGGGGGGTCTGGGTTATAATGAAAGTTTCGTGAGGGCAGGGGACCCCTTCTGGTCACCAGTGTATCCCATTCTCTTAGCCCAGAGCTGGCACACAGCTGTGCTCAATAAATATCTGCTGAATGTGACTGGATGAAAAGGGATATACTCAGCGAGGACATGCGTGACAGAGAGAGGGGAAGGACCAGTTGTCTCCAGAGAAAGCTTCGGTTCCAGTGTAGCGTCTTATGACTACCAAGGTCACAGGAAAATTAGCTGATGAAAATCCCAAAACATAAAAAGGGATGTCCCCGTTTGTCTTCCAAGTATTTTCTTTGCTTTTTCATTTATTCAGTAGACATTTATAGAAAGCCTACTACATCTGTGTGCCAGAGCTGGGGGCTCAGCGATGAATGAGATGTGGCTCCTTCCCTTAAGGAGCTCACCATCTAGCAAGGGCAACAATCGCGTAAGAACAATCCGTGTGGGCAGATGGACACTGTGTTCTCTGGGACATCAAGGCAAAAGGGACAATGCTGGCCAAAGGGTACAAACTTCCAGTTATAAGACCAATAAGTTCTGGGGATCTAAAGTGCATCAGGGTGGTTCCAGTTAATAGTACTGTACTACTGTATATACTTGAGAGTTGCTAAGAGAGTCAATCTTAAATGTTTTCACCACCAGAAAATAAAAGGGTAATTATGTGATATCGTGGAGGTGTTAATTAATGCTACAGTGGTCATCATTTTGCAATATATATCAAATGAATACACCGTATACCTTAAACTTACACAAAGTTGTACGTCAGTTATATCTCGATGAAGCTGGGGGAAAATGGGAAGAGGAGCGGTCAGCCATCAGATCAGTGGACAAGGGAAACATTGTGTCTGTCACTCTCTAGAGCAGTCCCTACTCTTTTGATGGAGGTATTGGATATGGAAGGAATGACCTGCGGGACGCTCCTGGTTCAGCAGGTGCAAACCTCCTGTGTGGCCCTTGGGCCAAGTCAGAGATGAAAGGTGTAATCCCCAAGAGTGGATTACACTGGAGGGATGACGATCTGGGCAGCACTGCCATGCATGTGAAAAGGTGGATGAATAAGGCATCTGTCCATTGTACTCAGCATAAGAGATGACAAGTCTTAAGAGGAGTCTGTGCTGCCTTGGGTCCTGGGGCTCCCCTCCCTGCAGCTCTGCCATGAAGAGATTCCTCCCTGTGAAGAACAGCCAATGGCCAGAGCCCCGGGCTTGTGCTGTGACCTGGGCACTCTTGCCCAGCTTGTCCTCTTGAGTCTCGTGGCAAGAAGGGTCTGGGGAGCAGGAACACTGACTTGGGCCATCTCTTGGAGCAGCACATGCAGCAGCTCCAGTGAACCGGCCAACCTGGTCCCTGGGGAACCACTAAGGCACAGCAAAAGCCACAAGGGCAATCATAGGAGTTGGCTCGAGTTACGTCCCTTGATTTAAAAATACAGTTTAGAAGACAAAGTGAAATCATGAGACTGAGCGGAACCAGTGCAGGCGTGAGGCACAGATCATGAGAGTTCTGGAAGGCATTCCTGATGAATGCATATTCATGTGCACTCCCGCTTCAGGGCTCCTCCCCTGAGCCTCGGCGGGGCTGCAAGGCAGAGCCCTGGCTCTGGCCCTACTGAGCATCCAGAGGCTCCAGGCTGTTCAGGGAAGGGCAGACATCCAGGCTGGCAGGCAGCGGAGCTCACTACGGATCTAGAGGGCCTTGGCCAGAGCCTGGGAGAGGATGGGGAGAGACTGGTGCAGGGGCGCCTGGGTGGCTCAGTCGTTAAGCGTCTGCCTTCGGCTCAGGTCATGATCCCTGGGATCGAGCCCACATCGGGCTCCCTGCTCTGCGGGAAGCCTGCTTCTTCCTCTCCCGCTCCCCCTGCTTGTGTTCCCTCTCTCACTGTGTCTCTCTCTGTCAAATAAATAAAATCTTAAAA